CTTTCTCCCTCCCCCCTTCTCTTTCTCTGTCTCTCTTTGGAGAGCATATGCACTCTTTGGCAGACAAAAATAAGGAAAAAAAAGAAGAGTTGTAACGATGAAAATTTAATCCTGGAATGTCAAAATTACAGACACAGCACTTTCAGCAGTGTCTAGATGTTTTCAGAAAATATAATATGGTTTCAGTTGCATAGTAAACCTTACTAATGGAAAACACTTATCATTGCAATCAACAATGTGTTAGGGATGGGGCCAGCCGTTAACGTAATGGCTGATGCTGGATTCCTACGTAGTCAACCGCAGTTCACGTCCCGGACCTAGTGGCTTAAAACTCACGCTGGGCGTGTGTGCGTGTGTGCGTGCGTGCCCAAGATCCCGAGAGGAGAATGGAGGAGAAGGATTGCAGCGTGGCCATCCCTCCTGGGGGGGGATTTCTCGCTGTCTCTCTGTCTCTGTCTGTCTGGCAAGCACACGCGCCCTATGGCAAAAACCTCTCCAAAAAAAAAAAAAAAACCCCAAAAAACCAAACAAAAAAAACCAATGTGTTAGGGCACTAAGAGGACAGAACATTTGTTGGGAGAAAATTTCAAGTTATTTTTCTAGACTTCTTCCCACGTGTCTAAGACGCATATTATGGCACTTCATAATTTTGCCCCAGCTAACCTTTCTTGATTTACCCCACCCTTTCTCCTCTGTACTAACACTTTTCAGAATGTGTATTTGAACACTGACTTTGGACTTTGCTTATTCTGCTTCTGTAGCCTGAAATGCATTCCCACCCACCACTTTGCTCCAGTGGTTGATACCTCATGCTGGCCACTAGTTCTTTTTTTTTTTTTTTTTTTTAATTATTTCGTTTATTTTATTTATCATCATTATTTTCTAATTTTTCATCATTGTTATTTTTTTATTTGACCAGAGCAAGCCAGACAGAGAAAGTGAGAAAGCAAGCTGCCAGGTCCAGGACTTGAACCGTGGTCAGCCCATGTGGGAATCTAGCGCCCTTAACCACCATGCCACCTGCCGGCCCCCTGGCCACTAGTTCTTGAGGATTCAGTGTAGATATCACTTGCTCCAGGCTTGACTACTTCTCAGTCCCCTCATCTTACCCAGATTGGATTGGGTGTCCCTCTTACGTGTTTACCTAGAATCTATACCTAAGCAAATCAACTCTTAGTAAGGATAGAATATTTTTTTTTTTTTGAGAGATTTTCACTGTAGGGCGCGTGCGCTCGCCAGACAGACAGAGAGACATAGAGACAGAAAGCGAGAAATCACCCCCCAGGGGGGGTGGTCACGCCGCAATCCCTTCTCCTCCATTCTCCTCTCGGGATTTTGGGCACGCACGCACACGTGCCCGGCATGAGTTTTAAGCCACCGGGTCTGGGACACGAACCGCGGTCGACTACGTGGGAGTCCAGCGACATAGCCATTACGCTAACTGCTGGTTCCCAGGATAGAATATTTTGATACACAAGATCTTAAAAGGTTTATTACCCTTGTGACCTGGAGGATGTACACCACTAAAAGAATGGAGATTGTGGGATAGGAAATGAGACCCTACACAAAAGGGCAAAGGGATTCTTAAGAGGGCAGGGAGAACCATGTACTACAGAGAACTGCTCATAGAGACTAAAGCATCTGCAATTAAGACCAACAGAGGACTGTCATCCTAGGACTGCTATGCTATGTCCTTGCTCCTGGACCTGGGGAAGCAGCCAAGGACAACCTAACACAGATTCTTACATTGACTATTGTTTGGGATAGTCAGTCTACCCTCACATAAATGTTCCGCTGTCCTGAAAAATGAAGCAGGGCCGAGCTAAGCTTAGAAGCAAAACACAAATGGAGAAAAGCCCACAGAGCGCTTGGCTCCTTCCTGACATCCCCGCAGGTACTTACGTGGTTCACACACCTCTGCCTGCTGCCTCAAGTTGTGGTGAAGTTTCTTTTCTTCTTCCTTTTTTTTAAACTTTATTTTAATTTGACTAGAGAGAGAGAGCAAGAGTGAGCAAGAGAGTGAGAAAGCAAGCCACCAGGTCCAGGACTTGGACTGCGGTCGGCCATGTGCAAGTCCAGTGCCCTTAACTACCACGCCAACTGCCGGCCCCAAGTATCTTCAATAGCCTCATGTGCCAACCCCCTTCACAAGTGGATCTTGTACATTTTCAGGGATGCTAGCAAATTACCTATTGGCTCTGGCCAGTTTCTCTTGTCCTGGAAGCCTTCTTATGGTGGCAGTATTTCTCTTCATGGGTTTGTGCTTGCTCATCAACTTTTACTATTATATTATCTTTGAGGTCTGGATGCAGTAGAAAGGTGGTAACATGCTAATGCATGATGTTGGAGCCATAAGGGAGGTCTGAGTTCAAATCCCTAGTGAACCTGAACATGCTAAGTGAACTCATGATCCTGGCTGGTTGAGTAGCTGGGGGAACAATTGTGGCATGGTGGGACTATGTCAAGGGTACCTGTCTCTCTTATGAAAGAAATACACTTAAAAATAATTGTTAGTGAAAAAGTATTTGGGGATCAACAGTTGGTGTAATGGTTATGTTGCTGAACTCCCATGTAGCCGACCACGGTTCGAGTCCCAGGCCCGGTGGCTTAAACTCATGCCAGGCACATGTGCGTGTGTCCCCAAGATCCCGAGAGGAGAATGGAGAAGGGATTGAGGCGTGGCCATACCCTCTAGGGGGTGATTTCTGGCTTTCTCTCTGTCTTTCTGGGCACATGCCCTACAGCAAAAAACAAACAAACAAGAAAAACAAACAAAAAACCTCTCCAAAACAAACAAACAAAAAAGCATTTGGTATCCTAAATATATGCATTTGCTTAATGGTGTTTAAGAGTTAAAAAAAAAAAAAAAAGAAAAAGAAAAGAAAGGTGGGGTGGGGGGTGGCAGCCATAGGGGCATGTGTTGGATGCTGTTGTTTGGCAGGCAGGCTGAGGCCACATGGGAGACCCAGGTTTGATTCCTGGCCCACACAATATAACTAGGCATGTGCCTGGGCTCCCAGCTATCTGGGAGACTGAAGCAGGATTGCCATACAGCAAGAACCACACACACACACACACACACCAAAGAGAATAGAAAATGTCCAGAGAAGTATACATCACACTGTTAAATGAGAATGGGTTTCATATATTTTTTTGAATCTATAACTTTTTTATTAGAAAAACCAGTTTCTTATTTTAAGTAGGAAAAAGACTGACATTTGGCATGGTCAACTTGATGTGTGGAATTAGCTTAGGCACCCTATCTTGGGTTGTGAGTGTGTGTTTATTTCTTCCCTAAGAGTCCACATCCTTAGTAGAGTCCTGATGCCATGATCCACCCCAGCCTTAGCCAGCCCTGGATCCCAGGCTACTGGGTGTCTGCATATACAAAGTAGGAACCTTCACATGTGGCTAAGCCTCACCAAGGTTGTGTTTTACTGCTGAGTCACCATCTGGCTCCCATCAACCTTAATTATTTAAATGTGAATATCATACTTAGTGTCTCCTGAGTGCTTGAAAGAGATATTTTTTAAAGAATTACTTTATTTAAATTTATTTATTTATTTAAATTTGACTAGAGAGGGACAGACTGAGAGAGAGGGAGACAGAAAGGGAAGTGAGAAAGCAAGCCGCCAGGTTTGGGACTCAAATCGCAGTCACCCATGTGAGAATCCAGTGCCTTCAACTACCATGTGACCAGGCAGACCAACCTGCTGCTGGTCCTATTTATTTAGTTTTATTTTGACCAGAGAGGGACAGAGTGAGAGAGAGGAAAAGAGCACGCAAGAGCAAGAGAGGGACCAGGGAGTGAGAAAGCAAATCACCAAGTCTGGGATTTTTTTTTGAGAGGTGTTTTTTTTTTTTTTTTTCCGCTATAGGGCGTGTGCGTTCACCGGACAGACAGAGAGAGACATAGAGACAGAAAGCGAGAAATCACCCCCCAGGGGGGATGGTCACGCCACAATCCCTTCTCCATTCTCCTCTCGGGATCTTGGGCCCACACGCACACGCGCCCGGCCTGAGTTTTAAGCCACCGGGTCCAGGATGCGAACCATGGTCGACTACGTGGGAGTCCAGCGACATAGCCATTACACTAACTGCTGGTTCCCTAAGTCGGATTTGAACCATATTTGGCCATGTGGGAGTCCAGCGCCCTTAACCACCCATCCCAACTGCCACCCCCCCCCCCAACATTTTCACTTAATTTTGTTGACTGTTCTTTAAGGTTATAAAGGGATGGAAACCTGGGTTGATGGTATAGCCTACAGTCCTTTCCTTCCCTGACCCTAAAGAGGCTAGACTTTTAAATTTTTGTCAGAGAGCAGGTGTGCTTGCTGGAGAAAGAGAGAAACAAAAGGAGGAAGGGAAAGTGAGAAGCACCACCCTGGCAGATGGTCACACCCCAATCCTTTCTCCTCCATCTTTCTTTCCTCACAGGATTTTGGGCATGCATGCACATACACGCAGTGTTTCTCAAGCTGCCAGGTCCAGGACTTGAACTGTGCAGTAGGCCCTGTGGGATCTAGCTGCCTTAACGAGCATGCCAGGGACTGGCCCAGAGGCTAGACTTTTTTTTTTTTGGAGAGATTTTCGCTATAGGGTGCGTGCGCTCACCAGACAGACAGAGAGAGACATAGAGACAGAAAGCGAGAAATCACCCCCCAGGGGGGATGGTCACACCACAATCCCTTCTCCTCCATTCTCCTCTCGGGATCTTGGGCACGCACGCACACGCGCCCGGCGTGAGTTTTAAGCCACCAGGTCCAGGACACGAACTGCGGTTGACTACGTGGGAATCCAGCAACATAGCCATTAAGCTAACTGCTGGTTCCCCAGAGACTAGACTTTTTAAGGATGAAGGAGAACTATAAAATCAGAAGAGCTCCTAAAATGACCTGTTATTTACATTTTTTAATAGCAGGTTAATATTTTAAAATGTCTTAACACAATCTCATTTTGAAAATTATCAACTATTGTTCTTATATAATAAAAGACAATGATTTTCTTATTGTAAGTTATTTATTGTAAGATAATTTACAAATATCTTGCTGTCTTTAATAATTCGAAGGACCAACAATTTCTTCTGACAAAGACAGCAGTAAGATAAAACCAAAATCAGCTGGCTCAATTTTCCTTCTTCACCTGAAAAACAAAGTGAAAGTAAAAGTCAACAATATTTTTTGGTGGAAGTAATGATGTAGTGATAATTCAAATTTAAGTGGAGTATGAAGAACCAAAATTACATAATAAAATGTTATTCTCTATCAATGGTTCTCAAAATTTGATCTGAGGATCCTTTAATGGGGTTTGTGAAGAAAAAACAATTTTTATAATAATGTGTTCTATCTTCATTCTCAAGAGAATACAGTAAGTTTCTAGAAGTGACATATTACATGGTATCACAACAAATGAATACAAAAATATAGATGAGAATCAAGCTGTTCTCCATTAAATGGGGCATTAAGGGATCCTAAGACCAGAAAGTTGAGAACCAATACTTGTCATCAATCTATCTTTACTATCTCAAAATAATGCTAATTCTCTATCCTTAAAAAGTTTATTTCCTTAAATCAACATTTTCTATCACCAACATATTTAATAAGTGTTCTAATAAAGAAAAAAGCCTATTGCCCATGTGCCCCCACAAGCTGGCTATGACTATAAATCTGCCTGCTAATACAAGTCTCTTAAAGAAGCAGGTTCATTATTACAAATTAGCTTCCATATCTGATTAGTTTTCTTTTTTGAAGAGTTATGAAAAGAGTGTATAACTTTACCTCTTATCTGAGGGTGAAACTTGATTTCCATTAATCCCTGGGTTATTATATTAGAAGAAAAAGACAAACACAAAACAAGCAGGTCAAGAAGCAATCCATGCTAGTTAATCACATATGACTTCCAACTAAACAATTCGTTTTCGTTACTTGCTACCTCAAGTATAACATACAAATACTTACCAAAATATTCCTTTAAAACAGATTCAGTGATTGTTATAAAGGTTATAGAACATCAATCCAGATAGAAGAATCAAACACATGTTCATGCGAGTAGGCAAAACTATGAGTATATAATTTAAATGACTATCTTTAGTACAAATAGCATACAACATATTTAACATATTTAGTAACTATTACTTGGCATCTCAAATATTATGGTTCCTTCATGCTTTTAATTTTATTTTTACTAAATAGCCAAATGTGTTACAGAGCAGGCAAGTCCATTCACATGAACAATCCAGCCTTGGAATGAACAGCTTATTTTTTTATGTAAGAATTTAGATGATCCTCTCAGAAAGTGAATATTTAATAGTCAATTTCTAATAATCTGATTTATTCTTTCTAAATTCTGTTTTATCAATCAATCTGCCAATCCTCAGTTCCTCATTTTCCTCGGTTCACTATTCCTTTTGCTTTTGAAAACTTTTGCCAGAAGCCCTGTGCATACACACTTCCCAAAGAGACAAAGACAGATGGTGAGAGAGCATCTCCCACACAGATGTTTATGCCACAATCCCTTTCCCTCCATCTCTCCCACCTTTTGGGATTTCAGGCACGCACACATATGCATCTGGGTGTCTTTCAAGCCCCCGGGTCCAGGACTCAAACTATGCAATCAACCCTGTGATCCACTTGCTTTACCGCCACATCAAGGGCTGACCTGATTTAGCTATACTTAAACCAGGTATTCATATTCCCAATAAAAAACCAGCCTGATCCTAAATATGTTTAACATCCCCTTATCAAGAGTGCAAAAAGAACTTTGAGTTCTCTGGATCTCATACAGTCCTTGGACCTACAGTATGCAGTTCTTTCCCCAAGCCCATCTCACATTTAACATCCAAGAAGAAATTTAGCATAGAACACATGGTAAGGAAGATAATGAATACTGTAATGATTTAATTCTTGTTTTGGTCCCCATGTTATAGAGGACAAAAGTTGAGTCACAGACAGAGTAGCTAACATGTTTATCAAGCTAGACGCCATAAGACTGTATTCTATGATGCTAACAAATCACTAGTGGTGACCAAGCCAGGAGAGGAACTGTGCCTAGCACAGCTAAGCAGATGGGTCCAACTAACAATTTATACAACAGTCTCTTGTTTCAATCAGTTGTATTCATCTCTCTCTGGGATTCTGCCCAGTTTCTACCCTTGAAAGATAATAGTTAAGGACCACTGTGTCACCTTTCTGATGAACTTTCCCCTAACACTTAAACATGAATACGTTTTCACATATTCAATGTTACTTTTCCTTTTTTCCCCCGAATTTTCAGTTAATACATATATATTATTTTATTTATTTGACAAACTTTCTGATAAGGATGTACTAGTAAGTTATGGGGACACAAAGGTAAGAAAGATATGGTTCCATCCTAGCTTCAAGGAGTACCTAGCCAAGAAAAAAAAAAAGGAATTCTTTTTTTTTTTAATTCTTAATAGAACATTTTCCTTTTTTTAAATTCCTAGTAGAACATCTTATTAGAAATTTCTTTTTAGGAGAAAGTTCATAACTTGCTTTCTCAACTTCTCTCTCTCTCTTCCTTTCTGGTAAAATTAAAATAAATATATAAAGTTAAATAATTCTTTAAAAAAATTCCTTAACAACTTTGAGGGACACAGTATATAATATGGGACTGAGAGAGAACACTTAATAACTAAAAATTCCTGGCCCCTAGTACTAGTCAATGGTTTATAGGTTTATGTGACTTTTTAATCTTAAAGTAAAGATATTAGATTCAGCAATAGATCACTTCAACTTTAACAGACAAAAGAGAATACTTTTAAGCATCTAAAGGTTAAATAAGTAGGCATAAGGCAAACGAGAAAAAGACATCTCTTAAGGCAACAATCTACAATTACTTACAGAGCTGCAGCACCAGAGATAATTTCAATCAATTCTTTTGTGATGACAGCTTGGCGGGTGCGGTTGAATGTCAAAGTCAATTTGTCAATCATCTCAGCTAGAAACAAATCAAAAATGTTAGACAACAAAACCTAAACTACAGTATTTGTTAATTGTCCTCCACTGCTCAATCTTAAACCAAGAGATTCTGTTTCATTTGAGATACTGAAAGTGGTTTCTCCGGAAATAAATAAATAAATAAATAAATCACTTTAACTGCCAGAGGGCATACGTGCTCATTAAAAGAGGGAGAAAGCACTGCACTGCCTACTAGGGGATGGTCATATTGCAAAACCCTCTTCATTTTTTCATCTTGTTGGGGTTAGGGACACACACACACACAAGTGCGCCCAAGGGACAGGGCTCAAACCACAGAGGGTCATGTGGAATCTGGCTCTCTTTAACCATTAGGAAATGAGGCCTGAACTTAAAAAAAAAAAATAAAATAAAAACTTTAGGAAGATACTTTAACATCTCCCATAGTATACCTTTTGACAGTACACATGCAAACTTACTGCCTACCAACTAAAATGTACTTCTCTAATAAGGCAGAGCACATTATGCCATTATTTCTGATGCTACTCTGGAGAAGACTCCTCTCAGCAGACTGTCCCTGTTCTAGCCCAACACTGTCCTACGGTGTGCTTACAAGCATTCTTGCTGGCGTTGTCCATAGCTGTCATCCTGGCACTCTGCTCACTGGTAGTGGACTCCTTCAGAGAGTAGTAAATGATGTTAGCCAGATTATATTCTTGGTAATTCTGCAGCACATCGGCATCGACGTCATCATAGATACTCATACTTTCTGTTAAAAGAAGTGATGAATTTCTTTGAAATTATACAGAATAAAGACTGATTTCATCAAAACAGCCTACTAATATAAACATATTGATTAAAAGCATAATTTTGAGGTAAATTAAATATATCTGTCCTAACAATTTAATCTACTTCCACACTATAGATTATGTCATATTTCCAGCAAATTTTAATGTGTACATAAACATTTGAAATTCTACTAGAGGCTTAATTTAAAGATGAAGAAGCTGATGTTTAAAATGACTTTCCAAAATTTCATGGTTATGAAATCTTCTGGATAACATCTCACAGATGCCTGTCACAAAGCCAGCAAATAGTCAATAATGTTTCTCTCTCTCTCTCTCTATATATATATAATTGAAACCAGTATAGTATCATATAATGATTTCCAGTTAGTTATCTGATTACTAGAGAAATATGAATATCAATCCAGAAGAGGAGAGAAAACCTTTCTAAGTAGATGAAAGAGCAAGATAACCAGGAGATAATACAAATTTTAGTTTTACTGTTTTGGGAATTTAGCAGCATATTTCAATATTCATTCATTAAGGCAGAGTGGTGAAATAATATTATACTTCATCAATTTTTTGGGGAGGAGAGGTTTTTGCTAAAGGGCACATGTGCTTCCCAGAAAGATAGAGACAGAGAGGCAGAAAGCGAGAAATCACCCCCCCAGGGGTAATGGCCATGCCGCAATCCCTTCTCCTCCATTCTCCTCTCAGGATCTTAGGCACACACACATGCCCAGTGTGAGTTTAAGCCACCGAGTCCAGGACTCAAACCACAGTCGACTACGTGGGAGTCCAGTGACATAGCCGTTATACCAACTGCTGATCCCAAAATAAATAAATAAATAAATAAATCACTTTAACTGCCAGAGGGCATACGTGCTCATTAAAAGAGGGAGAAAGCACTGCACTGCCTACTAGGGGATGGTCATATTGCAAAACCCTCTTCATTTTTTCATCTTGTTGGGGTTAGGGACACACACACACACAAGTGCGCCCAAGGGACAGGGCTCAAACCACAGAGGGTCATGTGGAATCTGGCTCTCTTTAACCATTAGGAAATGAGGCCTGAACTTAAAAAAAAAAAATAAAATAAAAACTTTAGGAAGATACTTTAACATCTCCCATAGTATACCTTTTGACAGTACACATGCAAACTTACTGCCTACCAACTAAAATGTACTTCTCTAATAAGGCAGAGCACATTATGCCATTATTTCTGATGCTACTCTGGAGAAGACTCCTCTCAGCAGACTGTCCCTGTTCTAGCCCAACACTGTCCTACGGTGTGCTTACAAGCATTCTTGCTGGCGTTGTCCATAGCTGTCATCCTGGCACTCTGCTCACTGGTAGTGGACTCCTTCAGAGAGTAGTAAATGATGTTAGCCAGATTATATTCTTGGTAATTCTGCAGCACATCGGCATCGACGTCATCATAGATACTCATACTTTCTGTTAAAAGAAGTGATGAATTTCTTTGAAATTATACAGAATAAAGACTGATTTCATCAAAACAGCCTACTAATATAAACATATTGATTAAAAGCATAATTTTGAGGTAAATTAAATATATCTGTCCTAACAATTTAATCTACTTCCACACTATAGATTATGTCATATTTCCAGCAAATTTTAATGTGTACATAAACATTTGAAATTCTACTAGAGGCTTAATTTAAAGATGAAGAAGCTGATGTTTAAAATGACTTTCCAAAATTTCATGGTTATGAAATCTTCTGGATAACATCTCACAGATGCCTGTCACAAAGCCAGCAAATAGTCAATAATGTTTCTCTCTCTCTCTCTATATATATATATAAAATTGAAACCAGTATAGTATCATATAATGATTTCCAGTTAGTTATCTGATTACTAGAGAAATATGAATATCAATCCAGAAGAGGAGAGAAAACCTTTCTAAGTAGATGAAAGAGCAAGATAACCAGGAGATAATACAAATTTTAGTTTTACTGTTTTGGGAATTTAGCAGCATATTTCAATATTCATTCATTAAGGCAGAGTGGTGAAATAATATTATACTTCATCAATTTTTTGGGGAGGAGAGGTTTTTGCTAAAGGGCACATGTGCTTCCCAGAAAGATAGAGACAGAGAGGCAGAAAGCGAGAAATCACCCCCCCAGGGGTAATGGCCATGCCGCAATCCCTTCTCCTCCATTCTCCTCTCAGGATCTTAGGCACACACACATGCCCAGTGTGAGTTTAAGCCACCGATGCCCAGTGGGAGTTTAAGCCACCGAGTCCAGGACTCAAACCACAGTCGACTACGTGGGAGTCCAGTGACATAGCCGTTATACCAACTGCTGATCCCATACTTCTTCAAATTTAAGATAATATTAATTATAGTTTCTACCTTATGAATCATTAAGAAAAAAATGTAGCTGATTACAAATTATATCACATTACCTAAAATAATGGTATATATGAAAGCAAAAGACTTTGAAAAAAATAAAACTAGTTGTACAATATTATTCCTGGGATGTTTCATTGCACAACGATGAATTTACTCAAACAATAAAAGAATAGGACTGGAGACAAGATGGTGGGCTCACAGTGACAATCTGTCAGGGGTTGAAAAGTAGTTTGTCTAAAAGCAGATTTTAAAAGCAATTTCTTCTCGGAACAACTTTGTGCCACCTAAGAAGCCTCTCGATTCACCATTGTAGTAGCAGCAATAACATGTGTAATATCAAAGACAACCACCTTGAAACATTTCCTTCCAACCCAAAATGGAGCTTTATATTGTGTTTGTCATAAATCTACGTATTCTTTTCTTCCAGATGATTATAAATGCAAAGTGGAGCTTTCTTTGTCATCTGATGGCAGGACGATAGTGTGCTACCACCTGCCTGTGAACATTCCATATGAACACACAAAACCTATTCCTAGACCAGATCCTGTGCATAATAATGAAGAAACACACGATCAAGTGCTGAAATCCAGGTTAGAAGAGAAAAGTGAACACCTTGAACAAGAACCCATGATAGAACAACTTAGCAAAATGTTCTTTACTACCAAGCACCGTTGGTTTCCTCATGGACAGTACCACAGACGTCGTAAGAAACTGGACCCTCCAAAGACAGATGACATCGAGGTTCTCAGAGGAATCAGAAATGTGTTTCATTTGTCATTTAAGAAAATCTCATGTGGTGTGTTTACTAAAAGGTCATGTAATAATAAAATTTCTTTTCATATAAAAAAATAAAAGAATAGGACTGAGTAGGTTGATGTACATCAGTTGTGAACACGGCTCAAATCTGTTAGAGGGCCTCTGACTGTATTGTAGTTAGTAGAGTTTACACATATAAATCGTAAAGCCAGTTTCTACCAGGATTTTCAGTCCTTGAGGACAGAAAATCTAAAGATTGCCCTCAAAAGACTTAGTTCAATTAATGAAGCAATGAAATAGTTACCAAACAATGACTGGATAAAGTTACCTTGGAAATTACTAATAGATGGTGTTTTTTAGAAATAACCTCAAATCATTTTGCTACAGCTATAAAAGGACATCCAACAAACACTATTTTCTTTAGTTACAAATTTCTCCATTCCACATGACAAAATACTTGTATATAAAAATACATTATATTAAAATACATACCAGCACTTGCAATGGTATTAAGGGAAAAGATGGGTTTTTCTTCTGTCTTATAGGAGATAACAGACCTAGAAATGACAAAAGCAAAGGTAAATCTCAAAATAAATTTTTAAACTGTTAAGTAGCCATTTACTTATTTTAAAATACTAATAAAAACACAAGCCTAGGGGCCAGCAGGAGGTGTAGTGGTTAGGGCCCTGGACTCCCACATGGCCGACTATGGTTCGTGTCTCGGACCTGGAGGCTTTCTCTCTCTGTCTCTGATGAATTAAAAAATAATAAAAACAATAAATAAATAAATATAATAATAAAAACCCAAAACATAAGCCTAAATTATTTGATTTCTAAATTTTACTTGCCTGAATCGATTAAAAATGATAGAGCCTTCATCAAACTCATATCCAGAATTCAGTAACTCAAGGGCAATGACAGATGCATCTCCAAAAGTAGGAGGCTTTCTTCCCACTTCTTTGAATGTCACCAGAAACTGGTCAGAATGAGTCCTACAAAAGAAATTAAGACATCATACAAAATACTGATAATTCAATGGAAAACTGCTAAACGAATATAGGGCAGGACCAGCAGATGGCACAATGGTTACGTCGCTGGACTCCAACATATTTGACCGTGGTTTGAGTCCCAGACCTGGTTGCTTAAAATTCATGCTGGGTGTGTGTGCGTGCATGCTCAAAATCCTGAGAGGAGAAGGGGTTGTGGTATGGCCGTCCCCCCTAGAGTGTGATTTCTTGCTTTCTACCTCTCTGTCTCTCCAATGAGTTCATATGCCCTATAGCAAAAAAAAATTAAAAAAAAAAAAAATGAGACCAGCAGTTAGCGTAATGGCTATGTCGCTAGACTCCCATGTAGTCGACTGCGGTTCGCATCCTGGACCCGATGGCTTAAAATTCATGCTGGGCGCATGTGCGTGCGTGCCCAAGATCCCAAGAGGAGAGTGGAGGAGAAGGGATTGCGGCGTGGCCATCCCCCCTGGGAGGCGATTTATTGCTTTCTGTCTCTCTGTCTGGCGAGCACACGGGCCCTATGGCAAAAACCTCTCAAGAAAAAAAAAGAAATACAGAGAACAAGAGAAAAACAATGTCACCATGAGTGCTGGTTCATATTATCATTATAACCTTTCCTTTCCAACCTGCAAAGAACTAAGATTTAAAAATCAGGCCTTTCTGGGTTGGCTGGTGGCACAGCGGTCTAGGTAGCCAAAATAAATCTCACATGGCCAGCTGCACAGTATGAGTCCCAGACTGGCAGCTTGAAAACATGCCAAGTGTGTGTGCTTGATTTCTATCAGATATGATTTATGATTTAGATGAAGGAGATGAAAAAGGTAGTGAAAAAAATAATAAAATAAAATTACCTATAAAGTATGCCCCTGATTTTATCACCTATTCCAACGAGCATAACTTCTTTTCCCGCTGCAGTGAGAGCAGCCACCTCACTTTTCATCTGTTTAGCAACTGAGGAATGAATAGCACCACAAAGTCCTCGATCTGAGGACACACCAATAAGGAGGTGTTTCTTCTTGTCTTCAGGCACTTTAATATCAGCTTTCTCATACAGAGCTGAAAAACAGTGACAAAAAAAGCAAAAAATTATTTAGATATAATTAATACTAAGTATAATAACAATAATAATCCCTAGTTTAGAAAAGAGTTGGCTGCCTCGGGTTGGCAGGTGATGTGGTAGTTAAAGGCACTGGATTCTCACAGAGTTGACTGTGGTTTTGTTACCAAACTCAAATCAGGTTTGCTCGCCCAAGCGCTATAAAACCAAGCCATAGGCACATGGTGTGATGAAGGAAAGTACAGCTTTATTGCAAAGCACAAAGCAGTGAGAGTGGTCAGCTCATGCTGAAAAGACCCAGTCTCCCCAAGATGTTCCCCACATGCATTTTTAAGGGCAAAATTAGGGGCAGAGGTCCTAGGCGCATGATCATTTCAGTGATTGGTTCAAGAGGGCGTGATCATCTCGTGGGCATTCTTGATTGGTGAGGCATTTTTCTTTAGGTGTCTGGAACCTTTCAGCCTGGAGTCTTTGCGCTCACAATCAGTTGTTTCCAGCCTATAAAACATCTTACATATTGAAATGAAAACCTTATCTTTCTTGTAAGCAAGAGTTTTAGAGATCAAATGGCCTTCATTTATGGTCCATGTTGGTCATTATCATAACCAAAGTCTGAAGACTTACTCCAGGCCATTACAATGTAAATTGACTTTATATTTCAGGAACCTTAGGAAACATATTAGGGGGTCCTTGTTCGGATTCAGTTTGAGTCCAGGACCTTGTAGCTTGCTTTCTCATTTTCCCTCCCTGTCTCTCTCTCTGTCTTTCTCTGATCAAACTGGAAAATAATAATTATAATCATAATAAAATAAAGTTAAATAATTCTGAAAAGAAAAAAAAATGGTAGAGTTGACTGTCTTTAAAAAATGCATTTAAGGGACCAGCAGTTAGCATAATGGCTATGTCGCTGGACTCCCATGTAGTCGACCGCGGTTCACGTCCTGAACCCGGTGGCTTAAACTCACGCCGGGCGCGTGTGCGTGCATGCCCAAGATCCTGAGAGGAGAAATGAAGGAGAAGGGATTGCGGTGTGGCCATCCCCCCTGGGGGGTGATTTCTCGCTTTCCGTCTCTTTGTCTTTCTCTAGAGGTCTGTCTGGTGGGCGCATGCACCCTATCACAAAAACCTCCCCCCCCCAAAAAAAAAGGGCATTTAAATCCAGGTTACCATCGACTAGTATAACCATGAGTGCCATACTTTATTTACAACTAGACTGAAAATCATGAAGGTTTAAATCTCTATATAGGGACCAGCAGATGGCATAATGGTTACTTGTTGGACTCCTACATAATCAATTGTGGTTTAGGTCCTGGACCCGATGGCTTGAACCTCACACTGGGCACATGTGCATATGTGCCCAAAATCCCAAGAAGAGAATGAAAGAAGGATTGTGGCATGGCCACCCTCCCAGAAGGGTGAATTCTTTCTTTCTGTCTCTCTGGCGAGTACATGCACCCTATAACAAAACTTTCTCTAGGGAAAAAAAAAAAGTAAACAAACAAAACAAAATCCTCTATATAACAAATATTCCCAAGGTGCAATTAATTTCAATTTATTTTAAAAACTGACTCAAAGAAATCTCTAGGACAATCCATACCACCTGCTGGCCCCTACAGACCTAGACTCCTAAAGAATGCAAACATATATACCACACAAACTAAAGTGATAGAAAGCACATATTTATTGAAATCACGATCTACATGTCAATTTTTTTTTCCTTTTTTTAAAAATGGAGAGGTTTTTTGCTATAGGCCACGTGTGCTTGCCAGAAAGAGATAGAAAGCAAGAAATCACCCCCCAGGGGGGATGGCCATGCCGCAATCCCTTCACCTCCAGTCGCCTCTTGGGATCTTGGGCACGCACGCACGCACGCACGCACATGCGCCTGGTCTAAGTTTAAGCCACCGGGTCTGGCTACATGGGAGTTCAGTAACACAGCCATTACACTAACTGCTGGTCCCTCAAGTTTTTTTTTGGTTTATTTTCAAGAATCATTTGGGGCCAGCAGGTGGCGTGTTGGTTAAGAGTGCTGGACTCCCACATGGCTGACCATGATTCAAGTCCTGGACCCTGTGACTTTCTCTCTCTCTCTCTCTGTCCTTCTCTGCTCAAAATAAATAAATAAAATAAAATAAAGTTCAATAAAATAATTCTTAAAACAAAAGAATCATTTTAACTTTATTATTATTATTATTTTCCAGTTTGACCAGAGAGTGACACACATACAGAGAGAGAGAGAGAGAGAAAGGATGTCACCAGGGTCTGGGACTTGAACCATGGTTGGCCATGTGGGAATCCAGTGCCTCCAACCACACCACCTACTGGCTCCCAATGTCACGTTCTTAAAAAAACTATTGATGTTAAAATAATGAATCCTACTTTATTGTTCACATTACTTTACCAACTTCATTTTGTTGGTCTAGTCCTCCAAGAAGCAGAGGCCAAGAGGATTAAATGGGATTAATGGCACACAGATTTTACTAGGCGATTTAAATGCTTGTAAGAGAAAACACGAAAGAAGTTGAAAAAAGCCGAGTCACCTCAGCACAACATAATGCAAGTCTGACTCGCAGAAAAGAGAGGAAGAGGGTGGGCAGCAGGCTCCTAGACTCCTGTCAGCTTAAGGTCAGCTGGTCTATTCTACACTCCCACCTGTGCTCAGGAGGAGCCTTGGGAAGCCTGGTCTGCTCAACCACAGGGTGGGTTTGAGAGACTGGAGCCAGTAGTCAAGGCTCTGTGAAGCTGCAAGGCTCATTTTCACAACTGCCACGTTCACTTGATTTAACAAAATTCTTGCTATTTCTTTTTTCTGTATAAGGCAGTGAGCGATTCTTAAAATTTCAGTATCTGGGGTCCAGTAAATGGCATGGTTGTTAAGGTGCTAGACTCCTACAAGGCTGACCATGGTTCAAGCCCTGAACCTGGTGTTTTTCTCTCTCTCTTTCTCTCTCTCTGGTGAGTGCAAGTGCCCTATAGCAAATTAAAAAAATAATACTAAGAAACCAGCAGTTGGCATAATGGCTATCTCGCTGGACTCCCATGTAGTCAACAGTGGTTCTAGTCCTGGACCCAGCAGCTTAAACTCACGCCAAGTGCGTGTGCATGCATGCCCAAGATCCCAAGAGAATGGAGGAGAAGGAATTGCGGCATGGCCATCCCCCTGGTGGATGTTTTCTCGTTTTCTGTCTCTCTGTCTTTCTGGCGAACGCACGCGCCCTATAGCAAAAACCTCTCAGGAAAAAAAAAAAAAAACACCACAATTTTATTCTAACTTATAGGACAGCTGGTGACATGGTGGTTAAGGTGGCTGAATCCCATATGGCCAAATGGACCCACGAGCTTTAAAAACATGCTAGACATATGTGCATGTATACCCAAATCCCGAAAGCTAAGAGAAGTTGGAGGAGAAGGGATCCCGGCATGACCATCCCCCACTGGGAGGAGTTGCTTTCTCACTTTCCCTCTCTCTGTCTCTCTTTCTCTCCTCTAGCAAATGCATATATGCCTTCTGACAAATTAAATATTAAAAAAAAGAAAGATATGCTGCAAAGGCAGCATGACCTGATTAATGAATTCACAGCATCATTTTGGCTGCTCAGAGAAGAAAATACAGTACATGCAAGAGCAGAATCAAGAATACCGGTTAGGATGCTATGATAGATGGAGCAGCAGTGAATGCAATACTTAGATGGAAATATTCCTGGGGAAGACACGAGCCCTTAAAAAAAATGGCCATGATTTGAGATAATTGAGAATAAGCAGTAAATAGGGATTGTTCATTGTATAATTTTCTTTTACTTTCAAAATTGCCTAAGATTTCTATAACAGGAAGTAAAAAATTCACTAAGATGGACTTAATTGAGGATGAGACAGCATGATATTGGAAGAGAGAAGAAAATAAAACCATAGATTAAAATGGGAACTTTCTAGTTCTTCACAATTTGTGTTTTTCAAGACAAATTCATAATCAGTTAAGTATAAAAGCACTGAAAAAACATAAATTCTTTTCTAAACTGCTGTGTCACTTTTCCACTAAAAACACGATTATAGGAACCAGCAGTTAACGTAATGGCTATGTCGTTGGACTCCCACGTAGTTGACCGCGGTTCACGTCCCGGACCCAGTGGCTTAAAACTCACACCGGGCGCATGTGCATGCGTGCCCAAGATCCCAAGAGGAGAATGGAGCATGGCGATCCCCCCCTGGGGGGTGATTTCTCGCTTTCTGTCTCTCTGTCTCTCTCTCTCTGGCGAGCGCATGCACCCTATGGCAAAAACCTCTCCAAACAAACGAACAAACAAACAAAAAACATGATTATAATCTAGAATAGATTACATAAAATTATAAAGGAAAAATATCTTCATGCTTTTGAAAAGATAAGAAATTATTAAGTATCTTAAAGTGATAATTTTCAGCTGTTTATCTTGCTTCCACACCATTCATATTTTCAAAATATCATCATAAATTGTGTTCATGAACACTTAAGTCAATGCTAGGTCACAGTATCATTTCCTCACTACCCATCCCCACCCTATAGTCCTAAAATCCACACGAGGTACAGGATGAAATCAAACTATATAATGCATTACGTTTCCAAGTTTGATGATCTATTTAATTATCTAGGAAAAATTTCAGACTATTTTAAAAGTTAACACAGTCTCATACAAGGATTAATACACAGACTTTGATGTCAAACCATGCAGGGTCAGAGGGTTTTTATCTATATATAATCTTGGGCAAATTACTTAGTATGCTTCATATATATATGTATGTATATATACATACACACACACATATATATATTTTGTCTTTGAATTTCCAGCATTCTTATCTGTAAAAAAAAACTGACTTGGGGGAGCAAGCAGATGGCATGGTGATTAAGGCACTGGACTCCCACATGGCCGATTGTGGTTTGAGACCCAGACTCAGCAGCTTGAAATCACGCAAGGCACGTGTATGTGCATGCCCAAAATCTCAAGATAATGGAAAAGGGATTGTGGCATGGCCATCTCACTTTCTCTCTCTCTGGTGAGCACATATGCCCTATGGCAGAAACTTTAAAGGAAAAGAGAATTGAGGGCTAGCGGGTGGCATGGTGAAGGTGCTGTATTTCTCACATGGCCAACCATGGTTCGAGTCCCAGACCCAGAGGCTTAAGAATCACACTAGGCATGTGTAAATGCGTACCCAAAATCCCAAGAGGAGAATGGAGAGGGGATTGTGGCAAGGCCGTCCCTTACACGTGTGTACGGGTAATTTCTCACTTTTCTTTATCTCTCACTTTCTTCAGGGAGTGCATGTGCCTAATGGTAAAAACTTCAAAAACACAAAAAACAAAAAGATTCGGGGCCGGCAGGTGACATGGTGGTTAAGGTGCTGGACTCCCATATGGCCAACTATGGTTTGAGTCCCAGACTTGGTGGCTTGCTTTCTCACTTTCCTTCTTGCTCTCTTTTTCTCTCTGTCAGCCTCTCTCTGGTGAATGGCTGTGTACCATAGCAAACAAAATAATAATAATAAAAATAAATAAGATTAAATAATTAAAAAAAAAAAAAAGACTCTACCTTTCTAGAGTTGCTCTGTATATATGTAAAATGTATGTATATAAAAAATGAACACATGTAAAGTACCCAGAATAGGTCTGGCATCACAGTAGGCAATATATACAAATTATCAGAATGTTCTTTACATTAAATAGCTATGTATAATATGTGAACTACACTCTTCTCTTACCCAAAGATCCTATCCCATACACGCGAGCAGGCTTCAGCTCCCTTTCAGCCCGGGCATATTTTGCTGCTGCTACCATTTTCATGGACTTGGTAATTTTCTGGATGTTTTTGATGGACTTTAGTCGCCTGGTAACTGAAAAACAGAAGTGCTGTATTAAGACAAAACATTATGATAAAATTTCATTTGTGAATTTATTGTAAAACTCGTTAGCACTTAGATCATCGATAAACAGTACGCTGCTAAACCAATGTCAGAACTGGTACTAATAAAAGAAGGGTAAAACAAGCTGCTAGTTAGACTGGTCAATCACATGGCAACACCAGAGAACATACCTCATAAATTTAAAGCATTAAAAGGTACCAAAACCAGACCAACCACATATTACATAACATTATATTTATAATTTATTTTTTGGGGGAGAGATTTTTGCTATAGGGCACGTGCGCTCACCAGAATGACAGAGAGACAGAGAGACAGAAAGTGAGAAATCACTCCCTGGGGGGATGGCCACGTCGCAATCCCTTCTCCTCCATTCTCCTCCTAGGATCTTGGGCATGCATGCACATGTACCCGGTGTGAGTTTAAGTCACTGGGTCTGGGACACAAATTATGGTCAAGTACATGGGAGTCCAGCGACATAGCCCTTATGCCAACTGCTGGTCCCAACATTATTTTTATTTTTTAAAGCATATTTATTTCTTCTATGAGTGAAACACATAAACACAATGAGACAGATAGAAAGCACCCGAATAGGGTCTTTTTTTTTTTTTTAATTCCCAGAGAAAGATGGAAAGAGGGGGGGAGGAAAGAACCCCCCA